CTACAGTAAATCCCATTTGCAACACTGCCTGAAGTGGTTTAATTGATAAAGGAGGCTTAGAGTACCCTATAAGACGCAGCTATAAAAACCTGTTTACCGTAAGGCTGCTTATGTAATATTTTGGGAACAGTAAAAAACAGGTGGCAAGCATTCAAGCTCAGGCATTCACGTTACAATGTGACTTGATTATCTCATAAAGCGTAGGTGTTCCCTTAATTACGGTATATCATATTTATCCCTTGGTAAAAGGGCTCATCTATGGGATCTTCTCTTGTCACCACTCTCCAAGTAATACTTCTTTACACACTACAATGACATTATTTGGCGGCCTTGTCACGCTTCAAACTAACACATATTGCTATGTAACAATTTTTAAGGACCGAATGGTGCTTCTCTTGATTTAAGGACATGCTTTTTATTTCTGTTGATATGTGTACTATTTAAGCGCCGCAAATTTTCCATTGAATACATTCATTCAAGCTTATGCTCCCACTCATTAAATGCTCGGATATCAACACCTGTCTCTAGTCGACCGCTTACGCTTTATATGCCGCTACAGTTACCTGCATAACCTCTCATTTGTATAGTTCCAATGCAATTCTGCTCTCTATATGATGGCCCTTTCATAACTAGTGATCTAAGCTTTGCGTCTCTCCTTCTTTTATTATTGTTAAATCTCCAGTTCACAACATGTCCTGCAGGCTAACAGATATACTTACTATTAGAACAATCACAACATACATTCTCAGTACCTTCGTCTAAGTCAAGCTCCTCTTTTACTCCTCTGTATTATTATTGCGGACCCGTTATTGGTCCTAGTGTATTGAGTAGCTAACCATAGGAGGCTCCCCAGTTTTTGGGGTTATCGACCTCTAAATACTTGTTGTTCAGTATTGTGGCAAGCCAATCATTCAATGCCTTTCTTATGGAAGTTATTTTCATAAAACAGAGTGTTTCTTTACTTTTCCTTATTACATCAGCATTCAAACACCATACCAGCCTGAAGCTTTTTTCGGAAGGCATCAAAGTCACTTTAAACAACAGCCCTGAATCCTACTGGGAATTTCATTGATTTCTCACCCAATTAAGAACCACAAACAAACAACACAATTATTAGTGGTATGTACTTTAAAGGACGCAGGTTATTGTCCACCACCTTGGTATGCCGCGCTGGTGGCCACCCCCTACTGAACGACGTGAAGACTGACATGCTAAATCTGACATAAAGATGAAAAAGGGAAAGTAAGAAAGAAAAAAGTAGGGTCAAACAGAACCAGAGATGGAGCACACATGGGACCACGGCTAGGGTACGACACTAGCACTACTGCTTTCCCATATGTACTAGTTCCGTCCTAGAAGTGACGATGTTACTCACTTGGGTATGACCCGTAAAAGAAAGCTAGGCATAGCTAAATCATAAAATATGATTAATTCGAAATTTCTACTTGAAATAGCCTGCCGGGATAATGAAACCACCAAGCACAGGTCTGAAAGATGAAATAATCATGAAATTATAGTTTATAGCGTACCAGCTATAGGTAGATAGATAGATAGAGAAATAAGTAATAAAAACCACCACCAACATATATACAAATTATAAGTGAGGTATGAAAGCAAACCAAGTGTGAAGCATGGTGGTGTGGCATGTATTGTGAGTAGCAGTGAATAATACGTTTATTGAGTGGCTCTTTCTGTGATAACCCTGTGCAGGGATTAGTGAGCAAAGCCTTAGTCGTCCAACATTATGCCGAGAAACGATGAGGAGGTCACCGTCTCACATACTTTATGTAGATGAAATGAAATAGAAATTCACAATTATGTGTGACGCTCGCGAGTGACTCTCACGTTTAATTTGTGTTGCATTGCATTCGTTCTAGTACAGCACTTGCTAAAGTAATGAACCTTCACTGATACACATGGATATATATATTAAAGTATGAGTATGTAGGCTGTTAGACTTTATTGTTTATGTGGCCTGTAAAGTGATAATGGTGTGTGCTAAGAGATGGGTAGTTGACTGTGGTGTGTGTGACCTCATTGACTAGAGATCATTATTATGCATTCCTATGTACTTCACTATACTGATGGTTAGTGACATCACAGCTGGTTATACCCATCTGGGTGGACCTATTCACACTTAGTGCTGGTCATGTGACCTTCAGCCAATCAATTTTGTCACATGCACACTGTTTTTTTAATTGCTTAATGCACTGAAATGTCTGCATGGAAGTTGTTAATGCACTGAAGTCGTCAATAAAGGGCAAGTTTTTCCAATAACTGGCCACGAATCCGATTGGCGGAAGCACTGAAATTTTTAGAACACACTATACATTGCATTAAAAATGTACATTTAGGATTATGTAATGCACTAGTCTAAGTCTCGTGCATTATCTAACCTCTATCGTTATCAATCCTCCTCACGCACTAAGACTAAACCACATAAAGCAATGGATAGTGTATTCTGTCTGTGGTGCTAGGTACTCAAGTGCAGGATTGCATTTAAGTTTCAATTTTTGTTGTCTCTGTTACGTACATCAGTGTGTCATCTGATATAATGGTAAAGACCCTCATTGAGATGACTTGCTTGCAAACAACACAATACATGCAAAGGCAAATCCCACTCTGTGTGGGACAAAGGAATTCATAACTCAATGTATGTAGTTATAAGAGTTGCCCGGTGTAATTCACATGCACACTTTTATAATTGCTTAATGCACTGAAAAGTGTGCATTCAGTTGTTAATGCACTGAAGTTGTCAATAAAGGGCAAGTGTTTCAATAACTGGCCACAAATCGATTTTATGTATTTCTTGGTGTTCGTTGTTGCTTGCTGTGACTCCTATGTCATAGATAGCTAATATTTGAGAGTCATCCCTGGCTTTAGAAATAAATTTCTTTGATCCATAGTCACGTACATGGAACTTCTTTAATAGGTAAGATCCTACTGCCAAGCTGCCAATCATAAAGTACATTTGAAGTTGTACTAGAATCGGCAATATAACTTCTTGTATTTTTTTCCAGTGGGTACTGTGATAAGGTCTAGAACGTTTTGGACATTTATATTCACGGACACCACCACTTTGGGTGTTCGTTGCTGCTTGCTGTGACTCCTATGTCGTAGATAGCTAATTGTCGTAGTCCTCCCTGGCTAGAAATAAATTTCTTTGACCATAGTCATGTCCATGTTGAACTTCTTTAATGGGTAAGATCTACTGCCAAACTGTTGAAGAGTGGAGCAAATGTTAATCTTACCACAGTGAGTTAAACATTGATTAACCCTTCATGCACAGGGATAATTAGGGTTATTGTACTATGTCTGGAGTGTGTGTATGTATCTCCTTCTCTCTGTTACCCCACAATGTGCAACACGGGGGCCACGAGTGACACATGTGTACACAGCCCTATTATGTCGCCACCTTTACTCACTGACATTAGTAAATGGTGTAAAGTGTGAGGACAATGGTGAAGGGATTCTGTAGATGGCTAAGAACGCAGCATTGTAAAACTCGTTAGTTGAGGAATGTAGAAGTCTTAGACTTCACACAATGCAGTCACAACTGAATGCCGAGGAGAGGGCATTACCTGTCTAATGTCCTTATGAAATAAATCATAGCTGTGCATCATACAAAAGTGCACACTCGTACTTCGCGACAATATATGTAGGGCTTGTGTGGAGGAAATTTTACACGAGCAAGCGATGTCAGATATGTCACCATCATCCATTGTACTACTGCATCACATTCACTAGGTCATCCCTCTCTTGTCTCCTTGCTTTTTCTACCATCCCTATATTCACCATTTTTTAAGTCAAAGAATTTTTACTTACTTGGTCAGGCATGTGGGGCTAAAAGTGATACCAACAGATTTACCGCTACAGATGGCTAACTCCAATTAGCCATTAACCACGCAACTGTTATGACACAATAGCAACTAAACACTCGTTACAAGGAGCTGTCTTGGCTAGACTCTGCAGTATTATTCACCATGAAAGCATCAGATGTTCCATGAAAGGTGAGTATGGGCTCCTGTGTTGCCTTTCAGTATTGGTCAGGTCGCCAACTGAACCAGAAATGTATTATACACGTAATTTTTTATATTTCCAGCAGAAGAAGTTATGTAAGGGGTGAGTCTGCATCCAGGCCAAGCTTCATTCACTACGGCCGGCATCGTCTTTTTGAAGGACACGTACAAATATTTATATAAGGAATGCTTTTTGGTAACCGCTTAGGGACAAAACCTTTTACACATAATTTTATATTTCCAGCAGAGGTAGTTCTGTAGGTTTGAGTACCGCACTTCCTGTGCATCTCATTACATATTCACTCACTCTTTGTTTTCTTTCTGCTTACTGCTGCTAGAGTTATGGCGTCGCCCTAGCCAAGGAGAACAACATCCATCGTCATGTGTACTTTGCAGATTTTAAGTCTGCATCCAAGCCAAACTGCATTCACTACGACTGGCACCGTCTTTTTGAAAGACCTATACAAATTTTATAAGGATCGTTTTTTTTTGGTAACGCTTAGGGATAAACACTTTTATGGCTTAGACGAGAGTAATTTTTCTTGGAATAAGACGCTCTAAAATCACAAAAACATGGTATTGTAAAGAACTTGCACACTGACAACACACATGTACAGTAAGATGTATGCAAGAATGTAAAGTAAAGTTTGGCTCTTTGGGGTCCACAGCATCTCTCCCAACATTTTGTGCTCGCTACCTCTCTGTCTGAATAGAAATAGCAGTACATGTCCCTCTCTCTCACAGCAGACAAAGCAGTATGTCCCTCTGTGCAGTTGGGGAAGGTCTTCCATGTACTGATGATGCCAGCACATATACCTGGGGGCAAATTTCAACAGTCACCTTGTGTATCAAAAAGTACATGGCAGTGGGATTTAGGTCGTGGACACACAGAGCACGGGGGAGAGGTAGTGTTGTACCCAGTCTCCCTCTGTAAAGTGAAGGGAGCCAGAGAATATTAAGGATAGTATGTTTTTAAGTGACCTAGATTCCTTCGGCAGCAACTCACCCCCTCCCTTGCAAAGGGAATTGAGGTTGTGTGTGGGGCATTGTCAAGAGTCCAAGTTTCCTCGCTTTTATAGAGTGAGTCAGGGAACGAGGGTTTTATGTATTCATACGTAACTTACAGAGCCCTTCAAGGCAGCATGTGATCACTGCATTGTGCAAAGAGAACACTGGACAGGGTATATATGGTAGTGTAGGAGTCTAACAGTTGTGTACAGAAACTGCACAGTTCATGTCCGGCTGCAACACTGCATTATTCCCAGTGATCTAGTCACCACATTGTCAGGCCATTGGCAGTCCTAGGACCATGCAAGGGATCCTAGTATATATGCTGAAAGAAACAACAACAAAATACAATGATAATGAAAAGCACTGAAGTGCAAAGCCTCGGCGCATTGTGACGCGCACGCGTAAGTAAACGCATGCGCCGTACCACTAATTGATGGGCTGGGTTTAGTTTTAGCTGTTACTCGTGGTCTCTTCCCAGCTCGCGCAGAGTCTGACGCGGGCTAACTACACTACTAGATAGCATGCGAGAGGCGATACACGCCCTGCGTTGCATCTTCTGGTGCCTCTGAGGTACGCAGAGCACGCGGATCGATCAGACCGTGGTAAGCCGTCCCGTCCGTTGCCTATTTGCATATTAGCTTTTTCGCGCTCTAGCTCTGCAACGGAGCAGTTTCAGAGAAAACCCCACATATTTTCTGACCTTCATTGCCCGTTCAGTAGGTGGTATCCTTTGTGAGACGAACGAACACTCGAGAAGTGAGATGACGAGTAACAGACAGACACACACACACACACACACACAGACAGACAAACCCAACTACCGTAACCCTCGCTGCGCATGCGCGCCGAGGGTTAACAACTATGTTGATGAGCTTGCGTAGCATTAACTTTAACCTGAGTGACATCTGGGAGCCAGCACTACATACATGCCCACAATAAACCTCAACCTCAGAAACATCAACTCAGGCTGAGCATGCAAACTGTTGTTCCTTTCTGGCCACAGCCCTTAGCCATAGCTTCCTTTTAAGTCTGTAATCATCTTGGTTGTGCAGTTCACTGAAGAAGGTCTACGAACCGAAACATGTGAACAATAATTAAGTTAATACTACACAAGCTCATCAAAATAATTGTAATTTCATTTTGTCTTGTACCTACTCTGAAGTAGCTTATGGTTCACTCTATAGCGAATACATACTTACCGAGTAACTGACACGTAACACCAATTTCCTTGTACCTACATATGTACGTCTGTTGCTGCAAGGAGCAATACATTAGTCTCTGTTTTTCCCCTCCTCAATGCTTAATATCCTTCACTGTATTTGACTAGTCATAATTAGTTGACTGGTTTACTACAAGCATCTTAACTGTATCTAATTGGTAAGCAAAGTGATCCTACTTAGTTACCTGAATTGCCTGGTTACAAGGTTTCTGCATGTGCCAGTAACTCTAGCGTTAGCTTGCTAAATAATGTTCTTTAAGTCGACTATGGATGCTTAATGTCCTTCACTGTATTAATTAGTTGACTGGTTTACTACAAGCATGTTAACATTAATTGTTATTCCTACTGTATCTAATTGGTAAGCAAAGTGGTCCTACATACATAGAATTGCCTGCACTTATGTAATGCATACTGCAATGTTGCCACCAAATTGTAATGTCCAACGTAATTCTAAACTCACACATACAGTCTACTATGGAGGGTGAACAGTGCCAAAAGTAACTTTCTTTAAGTTCTTACCTTTATTATGTATGTTTAATTTGTATATCCAAAAGCAATTTAACAGTACTCTTTGTGAGTGACTGGTTTACTCACAATTATTCCTGTTTAACTGAATTTTTCTTTGTGAAGGTTGGTCTTCTCTCATCTCCTCTGGAGGTAGCTGCTGGAAAAGGCCACACAGAGATTGTGGAGAAACTGATATCAGCTGGAGCTGTCATCAACTACCAAAACAAGGTATGACAATTTCAGCCGTGTAGAGAGTCTCACCTATTCTCTCTCTATTCTGCATTCTAAAAAATTTTTTGCAAGTAACCTCTGACCCTTATAAAGTGGGAATGAAAGGTCACATGCAAGGTTATCATTTCAGAAGAGGGAGGGCCTTGGTGCAACAAGGCGACCAGTTACGTAGATGTTTGTGTGTCTCGAGATTTTCATATAGTGACATTTCTTAGAACCCTGCTTCATTGAGTTCTTAAATCTGATTGGTCGATTAGAGGGGTACTATGGTGCTATTCCCACAAGATAAGCCTTCTACATAATATAAATTTTATGACTAGAGTGGTTGCATGATATTCAAAATGGGGATTGCTCCTTGAAGAGCTTTTTGTCTACCGTATAGGGGACAGTATAATATGTCAATGAGAGGGAGTTTGAAGAGGGGCTAAAAATAAGCTGTCATTGTATAAGAAGGTGGTAGCGATCAATAAAGTACTTGCACTAGGCAAATGATGCTGGGTCTAGATTAATGTATAAGTTCAGGTCATCCACACATTGACTAAATGAGGAGATGGGTAGGCATAGGGGGAGGGAGGAGATGAAGGAGTGCCTGTTGTGTGATGATGAGTGTGAAAGTGTGAGTCATGTGTTGTGGGAGTGTCCTGCATATAATAGTCTTAGGAGCAATTTCTTAGTTGCCCTGCAGCTGAAGCTTGGGGGTGATGGGTTTGAGCATTTCCAGTCGCTCGATAGTTTCAGGAACATCCTTTACTTTGGGTAGTAAGCAGTGGGAGGATAAATTTGGGGTTCTGCTTGACCTTGTTAAGGGTTTTATATTAGATTTGTGGGAACTAAGAAAGGTTAGGTTATACAGCGATAATCCCAGCGTTAATTGTGTGAGTAACCTCTGACCCTTATTAGAGTGTTGGTGGACACTCCAATGTAGGGATTGCACAGGTGAATTCTCATGTGATCCGTGTACAAAAGGCCTCCAAATTGTAGTTAAGATCTTTTTCACTAAGTAGGAACATCCACACAGGTTCAGTATTAGTCGATGCTTGCACTGTGGGTGATATCATGTCTTGCTCTAAAGATGGCTTTCATCTTGTATGTTGCTGTCAGTATAAATTCAGTGTTACATGTGTAACCTGGCGGACTACATAAGCTACATGGCTCTGACCACCAGCCACGCTGTCTCACTGACCTCCGGGTTGACGTGATCAGCCGGGCAAAACTCCACTGGGTACACAAATCCTGGTTCAGTGTGTTCCAGAATTGCCACTGGTTTACCAGCGTAGATAAGTGGGGGTTCAAATGTGGTATTGATGATTCTCACTGGGACCTCTTCTGAAATGGAGCAGACCAGGGCACGGGCTGCATGACACCGACAGGCTTCTGGAGATTATTCTCGGGTGTCCAAGTTTGGCCTGGTGTTACTGGATCCTCCAGATGGGCCATTACCTCTAGCTCACTGTAGGCTGGAACTGAGATATTCCTTTGTATATTGTACCTTCACTATAATCTGGACCATAGAAGTTGGTAACTGGGTAGATTGTCGCAAAGGTAGGGTAATTCCCTTGGCCCATAAAAGCAACTCCTCAGTTTGTAGTTTGGTGGAGGCTCTCTGGCCCTTAAGGAAGTCCAGCCCTAGTATTCCTACTGTGGTGAGAGGACTAACAACAGCCACATCTACGGGTATGTCATTTCCGTTGAGCTGTAGGGACAGCGACCTGGTGCCGTGGGTCTTGAGAGAAGAGCCGTCTGCAACCACCAACTCCAAACTTTGGTTGGGTATCAGGTCAGGAGCCTTGATGGGGGAGTTTTTGAGGATCCTCTCCCATGCTTCTTTCCGGAGCAGGGTGACTGCTGCCCCTGTGTCCAGCAAAAACGTGAGGTCGTCGTCGCTATTTCGGCCGTAGAGCTTGTATCCTCCTACAGGGGAGACAGGACATAGATTTACTCTAATAGAATGAGCAGTTACTATGTGTCTCTCCAGTGACGTGCTCTCTACGCCGAAGGGCTGCCGTTTCCCTGCAGCCTTGCCGTTGGTTTGGCTGCTGCCTGACAATTTCGGGCAATATGCCCTGGGCATTGAGTGTTCCTACTGTGAGGACCATCAGGTCTTAAACTACGACATTGGCAAATGTAGCTGTACAGAGTTGTCTGGAGTCTCCAGTGGACACTAGTTGGACAGTCACAGTCTGGACCTCAGCTGTAGTTTCTGACTACCACTAAGTCACTGGAGTAACACAGTAGTGGTATACAATAGTTGACTGGAAGAGGTAATTACAGGCTGAAAATTGATATATTATGCAGACTCTCTGTGACATAATATACCGACAGGGATAGCACTTCGTTGGCTGAATTCGAGTATAAACCTCTCAATTTCCTGCAACATCTGAACTGTTTCGTTCATCAGTCAGAGAGCCAAAACTTGTATCGCTACACCAACTCACTGCTCCACCTGTAACCATCTGGCTGCGCTCTTCGATGCCTGACCGAGGCTGTACCTCTTGTACTGGCTGTACCTAACATGTCCTTATCCCTCTGCACGTATACGCAGCAGGGGTTACTGTACTCAATATACCTATGAGGTAGCTATGAGAAACCAACAGAGCCATCTGTCACCATTAGCAGATCTGAGTGTCCCCATCTTGTGCTTGTCGCTTGTCATTCCTGACAGTATTTTTATGGTGTATTATGGAGATGGATGTTCTCCTATTACTAACAATAATGTCTTCCTCTTTCTAGGATGGAGTAACTCCACTCTTGATAGCCAGTCAAGAAGGACACCTGGAGGTAGTTAGACTTCTGCTGATGACTGGAGCTAAAGATCTACCTTATAAGGTATAAGGATAAACGACCTTTAATTACAGTTAGTGGTCACATCTTTGTTTGAATGTGTTGTTATGTACTTTTAGGAGGTAGGGGGTTGTCATGTACATATATACAACCATACACAGCATGGCGTGCCTATCAATTGGCGGTACTCTCTACACATGTGTGGTGTGCATGTACTGCAGGCTTCTCACACATAATTATTATATCAACACTCCTGTGCTTGCAATTTAGTGTTGCAATAATGTGCGACTGTCTCTCATTGAGTGTAAATTTCCCTCACCTCTCAGGATGGACGTACAGCCATGAGTGTCGCAAGAGCCAAAGGTCATCAGCAAATAGTCCAACTTCTACAGCAGTACAAAGTTTAAACTACGTCTCTCGACTTCTAACACTGTAGCCTAGTTCTATAGCTACTACATATAGGTCATCAGCAACTTGTCTTTTACAGGAGTAAAATATTTAAAGGAAAGAACACTCTAATTAACACTGTAGCTTATCTCTTTACTATACTATACTACATACCAGTCTTACTGAATTGTCTATTCCCTCCTTTTTACAGCTTTTAAATACTGTGTTGTTGCTTATTTTTGTATGTCAGCGTAGTTAGTATACAAACTGTACTCTATGGTTTCGATTTTGCTACACCATGATATCAGTGATTTGCATGTTAGATGCGCTTGCCACACAGGTAGATGCTCATACAACCACCATGTAAATTAACTATTTACACGCATGTTCAAGGAATGTTACAGTGTGTGTGTGTGTTGGGTATTGGAGGATGGATAGTCCTAGAGTTTGGGAGGCGTGTGCCAACCTCACCACATATGGCTGCCTAGTGGTCTGAAGTGTATGCGTCATTAACTGTTGACACACCTCTGACCCACCTCTTTCTACAGGAGAAGTATTAGGGCCCTTATTCTACTCTTATTGTTTCTGTGCAACTAAGTTGCAGAAATAGTAGGGGACATATGACGCATGGCAGCTAAGCAAGGCGCTAATGTTAGAGAGGAACAGAATGCATGTGTGTAACTATGCATACAAGCTCAAGAGTGAGACACAGATGCCTAGCCTTGAGAGCTGGGGATGGTGAGTTAAAAGATCTTTGTATGGCACCCCAACTCTCCCAATGTCACAGACTCTTACTACCACTTACAGAATTGTATTGACAATCACCTACCTTAGGCTCTCTGGGGGAATGCAATCTACAAAGCACAGTGGGGTATTTAGAAGTATGTCATAGGTATGGACCTTAAGGGAGAAGTAGGTTTGTTACTCTAGGGTCCTGTTAGAATCGCAAGTGTAACACAATGCTGTGTGTATATATGTGTGCACAGGTGTCTGTATGTAAGCTTGCACTATAGGCTACGAGGTGGCCAACAAGCTGAATGCCAGGGCCTCAGTGCTAGATCAGTATTAAGTTTTTGAGAATACTGGTTAGGGTAAGCTACGTATGATGCTGATAAGCAACAGCTAGCTAGCTAACCTTGGCTCTTTTCAATGCACCTTGGAATAAAGTTACTTTGGGTCAACTTGGTTGCCCTCAGCTTGACGAAGCAGTGAATGGGAAAATGAAGTTTATATCACTAAGTACGGTAGTACTTAGTACATAGGGATGAACAGGACACAGGTTGTCCTTCATTATGCCCATACATTTGAGATTTTCATGTTTGACTTTCAGTTTCAATCAGGTCCAACTTTTGACACATCTGCATCGTCACAAAGAGCATGTATCCAATTTTCTTATTCTTCTTGTTGTCGTTGTTCTTGTTGTTGTTGTTGTTGTTGTTCAGTTTAGACAAGCGTATCTCAAAAACCGGGTAAGATATGCATATGAAACTTTGCACAGATATTCGAATCCATGACAGGTCGTGCAAGAGCATTTTAATTTCTTCGTAAACAATTTTGTTTACATGTAAACAACAACAAATAGCCCCAGGCAAAACATTATTATAGAGACAAATAAAGTGTGCTAACTGGGTAAAGCTAATACCCAGAGTGATAAAACTTTGTATACACATGCAACCCATCATTAGTATCAAAATGTATACATTACAAGTTTGTAAACAACAACAAACAGCCTCAGGCAATAAAAACTTGTAAAATGTGTTTGTGCCTATAACTTGCTTATGGTGGGTCCTCTAACAATGTAACTTGGTACACTTATGTACCATGATGAGAGTTGATTGAAAGCAAAATTACAAGTTTGTAAACAACAACAAACAGCCTCAGGCAATAAAACTTGCATATTGTGTTTGTGCCTCTAACTTGCTTATTGTAGGTCCTCTAACAATGAAACTTGGTACACCGATGTACCATGATAAGAGTTCATCGAAACATAAATTACAAGTTTGTAAACAACAACAAACAGCCTCAGGCAATAAAACTTGAAAATGGTGGTTTGCGCCTCTAACTTGCTTATTGTGGGTCCTCTAACAATGAAACTTGGTACACTGATGTACCATGATAAGAGTTCATCGAAACAGAAATTACAAGTTTGTAAACAACAACAAACAGCCTCAGGCAATAAACTTGAAAATGGTGGTTTGCGCCTCTAACTTGCTTATTGTGGGTCCTCTAACAATGAATCTTGGTACACTGATGTACCATGATAAGAGTTCATCGAAACAGAAATTACAAGTTTGTAAACAACAACAAACAGCCTCAGGCAATAACAACTTGTAAAATGTGTTTGTGCCTATAACTTCCTTATGATTGGTCCTCTAAAAATGAAACTTGGTACACTGATGTACCATGATGAGAGTTGATTGCAACAGAGATTACAATAATGTAAAAAACAACAAACAGCCTCAGGCAATAAATACTTGTAAATGATGTTTGTGCCTATAACTTGCTTATGGTTGGTCCTCTAACAATGAAACTTGGTACACTGATGTACCATGATGAGAGTTCATCGAAACACAAATTACAAGTTTGTAAACAACAACAAACAGCCTCAGGCAATAAAAACTTGTAAACTATATTATTGCCTATAACTTGCTTATGGTGGGACCTCTAACAATTGAAATTGGTACACTGATGTTCCACGATAAGAGTTCATCGAAACAGAAATTACAAGTCAACAAACAGCCTCAGGCAATGAATACTTGTAAATGGTGTTTGTGCCTCTAAATTTCTTATTGTGGGTCCTCTAACAATGAAACTTGGTACACTGATGTACCATGGTGAGAGTTCATCGAAACAGAAATTACAGGTTCGTAACCAACAACAAACAGCCTCAGGCAATTAAGTGCTATTTTCCCTATAACTTTGTACACTTATCTACTTTGAAAGTGAAATAAAAATGTAGATGACGACTAACAGAGAGGCAATAAATATGTGTTACTTTTTATATGCCGCAATGCATGTGCATGCCGTAAAATAAGGAAAGGAGACAAGTAAATAAAAAATTCTGCAAATAAAAAAGTGTTGAATATAGGGATGCCATAAAAAGGAAGGAGACAAGACAGGGATGACCTGGGCATGTGATGCAGTAGTACAATGGGATGAACTGACATTTCTTGCTCATGTAAATTTTACTCCACACAAGCCCTATATTGTCGCAAAGCACTATCGTATGATGTGCAGCTATGACTCGTTTCCTATGCACGTAAGACTGGCAGCAAATACCCTCTCTGACAGGTCCTCAGGTGACTGTGTTTACTTCAATGTTCGCTCAACTAACCGGTTTTACAATGCTGCTTTCCCTACAGAATTCGTTTGCCAGTCTTCACACTACATTATTCAAAACTCATGTCATGAGTAAGAGTTGCAACAATATAGGGCTTGTGCGGAGTAAAATTTACATGAGCAAGAAATGTCAGTTTGAAGATGTAACAATCATCCCATTGTACTACTGCATCACATACACTAGGTCATCCCTGTCTTGTCTCCTTCCTTTTTATGGCATCCCTATATTCCACACTTTTTTAATTCGCAGTTATTTACTTGTCGCTCTTTCGTTGTCTCGTTGCGCGTGGTTGCAGAAAACGTGGTAACAGACAGACAGACAAACTTACCGACCAAGTACAGTAACCCTCGCAGCGCATGCGCGCCGAGGGTTAATGGAGATAAGAAGGAAATAGCTTAATTATGAAATCACTTTTGAGCAATTTCTCGTGTTGAAAAAAGAAGGCCAATACAACCTATTCAGACAGCATTAAGCAGCTAGATGAGGTATTCTAGTTAAGCATTTTTGCCATTTCGAGGCTTTATGTCACCAAGCTCTCTTGCTACAAGTGCTATTTCATTGTACCTCTGTAAGTTTACAAAAGGTTATCGCCAACCATAACCCTCACTGGGGGACAGGCTGGGGACAAGGCTAGGATTTCTGTACGTGGATCACAAGAGATTTTACCTGTGCCAGTGTACTGATAGAAGTGGCTCTACTCAAAGTTGACACTGAGAATAGTAGCATGATTTACCGTCGTTTCATCTTTTGAAGGAGCCTAGGGTCTTATCATGTATTAACGACATACTGACAACGTTAGTCGTTACTTAAAAAGGTATATGTTTGCTTTTTAGGATGGCCATGTCTACATCTGTGACCTGGAGATAATGGATGATGTTTCATGCAAAGATGGTGCTTATTGTGCAGCTCCTCTCTGTCTTCTCTATGTGAATGCAGTAGGCCAACTGAAGCCCATTGCCATCCAGCTCAGCCAGAAACCTGGTAATGACAACCCAATATTCTTACCTACGGATCACAGGATTGACTGGATTGCTGCCAAAATGTATTATGTGTCCTCACACTACCAGGTATGGAACACCTGCACATAATAGTTGTCTATGGTCTTTGTTGATTTAGAGGCTTCTGCATAATTTACACGCGCAAGCAATGCCAGTTTGAAGATGTAACCATCATGCCATTGCATCATACACGCTAGGTCATCCCCTTTCTTTTCATACCGTCGCTATATTATGCCCCTTTTTTAAATTCGCAGGATTTTTAATTTACTTGTCTCCAGTCATTTTTATATACTACTACGTATTGTCTCTGGGGAAGGGGGCAAGCCCCCTATAAAAATTAATAATGGAGAAAAAATGCCTGTTGTCGTCATGGAAATAGTATGCTTCATCTCCATTGTGCTGTCGTTAGCAAGTTTGAGGAGTGAAGAAGTAATTTTAAAGAAAAGTGCCTGAGGCTATTTGTTGTTGTGGTCGTCATGGAAACGATGTAACAAACTGCACACAAGTTTCATCTCCATGTGTGCTACAATTAGCAAGTTTGAGGAATGAGGAAGTGGTTTTAAAGAAAATTGCCTGACCCTTTTTCAAACAAAATGTGGTCGTCATGGAAACATGTAATCATGATGGAAATGATATAATAGGTATACGTACCAAGTTTCATCTCTATGTGTGCTACCATTGGAGAGTTTGAGCAGTGAAGAAGTAAATTTAAAGAAAAGTGCCTGAGGCTATTTGTTGTTGTTTACAAACATGTATTGTTGTAATTTTGATGTTGGTGATTGAATACACTATGTCTACAAAGTTTCGTTCACATAGCTCCTACCATTTGTGAGTTATACTGACACATGTGATCCCATTATAATGTATTGCCTGGGACTATTTGTTGTTGTTTACAGTAAATAATGTTGTTTACAAAGAAATAAGTATGACCAGTCTCTTCGGGTGATGTATATCTACATTGTTACAAAATTTCATTATGTCGTTTTTGAGTTATGGGTGTTGAATCTGAAGAAGGAGAAGGAGAAGATGAACAAAACTCCCTATCATAGCTCCATACATCTATGATACTAGGCACCATCCCTATATACTAAGTACTACCGTACTTAGTGATTAACACCTTGCAAATTGTTATGGACTTGTGGAGGCTCTGGGCATATATATGCCCGTGGCTTGCTAAAGGTTAAAATGAAGCCAATGTAGCGATGAACCGATTGTTTTGTTATTTCATCGCGCATATATAGTCGCATAAAGTGTGGTAGCAGACACACATGACACATTCACAAACCAACTACTGTAATCCTCACTGCGCATGCACGCCGAGGGTTCATTAATGAATGTGTCTGCCTTACCACCCAGACACCCAAACTTACCCAGCCCCTTGGCGTTGATGTCACTAAGTACGGTAGTACAATTATACTTAGTATACAAGTAAAAAAGAGGCATATAAGGATGGTATAAAAAGAAAGGGAGACAAGATAGGGATGGGAAACATGAAGCATGGTTAATGAACAGATTTGAGGCAATTTTTGATTTTCATTTTTCATTCTTCATTTCTCAAACTCACTAAAGGTAGCACGCACAGAGATGAAACTTGGTAAGCATGAGTATTACATCATTTCCTATATACATGTTTCTATGACGACTACATATTGTTCAAATAGCCTCAGGCAAACTTGCTAACGGTAGCACGCATGGAGATGAAACTTGGTATGCATGAATGCTACATCATTTCCATGACAACTTCATCTTTCCATGACGACCGCATGTTGTTTGAACAACATCAAATAGCTTCAGGCAATCTTCACTCCTCAAACTTGCTAATGGTAGCACTCATGGAGATGAAAGTTGGTATGAAACATTGTTTCCATGACAACCGCATAATTATTATCAGAGCGTCGGTAGACGCTCTATATAGGGATGACACGAGTGAAATCCCACGCGATCCGCGTACAAAACGCCTCAAAACTCAGCGAGAATGACTCACCACGGCTTCAAAATCACTAGCAATAGTCTAGAGGCCAATACCTAGCTATACATATGCCCCAAGACTTCCTACGTGCCTTCAGTTCCCCACGAGAGAATTCGCTCTTACGCGATTTTGCGATTTTCATGTCATCATCATAATTATTCTTCATCTTCTTCTCCGCTAGCTCCTTACCGGAAGCAGTTGAAGCGTTGATTTTTTTCACAGAACGTCTCCGAATTTGCCGGAGGTGTGCACTTTCTTGCCGCAAGTCACTTCAGTAGATCGTTGAGCTCTTCCACTGTAGTCACTGAACAACGCCATTTGCTGCATCAGTGAGCCGCATGTGCCGATGAGAGCGTTTCCCCAATGCGGTGCGCGTGTATTACCATATTATAGTCTCGTGCGTGAACCAGACTAAGCCAGGATGCCTGCAGAGGAACTCATATCCTCCAGTGCCTTCTGTAAGTCAGTATACACATTTTTAACTGGCTAGCTTGCGTTTTGCTGTTGAACGAGGAGCAACTTGGTAGTGTGCGCAGTGTTACGCGGGCCTTGCCCAGCGCCTTCATTGTTTGTCCCCCTATCATTGTAGTCTGATTACTGAAGCCTGCCTATGAAACCACCCCACCATATGTGCCACAACCTAATTGCATCGTTGTTGGAGACACTACGCATACACCCTGCTTCAGGTCAGAGCAGCCCATTAGCGTCTTATTTCAACAGTTATCTCTACAACACCCATGAACATCATGCAGAGTGACTGAAAATGCAGTGTTGTCATAAGGCATGAAATATAGTGGAAACAAGTGGAAAAATCATTTCTTCAAAATGAAGGGGGTATAGGGATGGATTGAAGCACCAAAAAGGAAGAAACAAGGGGTCATTACACAGCAAAGATGCACAAAGCTACATGACACCATCCCTATATCTTTGTGTTATAGTTCACAAGTATGAGACAAAGATATTATAGGGATGGTGTCATGTAGCTTTGTGCATTTTTGTAATGACCCCTTGTTTCTTCTTCCTTTTTGGTGCTTCAAGCCATCCCTATATCCCCCTTCATTTTGAAGAAATGATTTTTCCACTTGTTTGAACAACAAGTAGCCTCAGGCATTTACTTCTTCACTACTCAAACTTGCTAACGGCAGCACACATGGAGATGAAACTTGGTATGCATGAGGACAACAGGATTTTTTCTCTATTTATATATAGGTGGCTCGCCCCCTTCACAGAGATATATGTAGTAGTATATTTAAAAAAATGAGTGGAGACAAGTAAATTAATAATCCTGCGAATTAAAAGAAAGAGGCATATATGGATGGCATAAAAGAAGATAGGGATGGGATATATGAAATATGGTTAATAAACAGATTTGTGTACGCTGACACCCCCAACCCCTTCACACAAACCCTATATTGCTGCCTAGATGAAGTATTAAGTAATAGCTAATGTACGGAAGTCAGTGCTGTGCGCGTAATATGGTACGAGGAGAGAGAGTTTGTTTTTTTCTTTTTTTTCCAGCGTAGCCTGACCCCGGCCAAAACTTTTCCTTTTGTGAAAAGAAGAAAAACAAAAAACAAAAAAAACCAATATATGAAATATGGTTAATAAACAGATTTGTGTACGCTGACACCCCCAACCCCTTCACACAAACCCTATATTGCTGCCTAGATGAAGTATTAAGTAATAGCTAATGTACGGAAGTCAGTGCTGTGCGCGTAATAATGGTACGAGGGAGAGTTTGTTTTTTTCTTTTTTTTCCAGCGTAGCCTGACCCCGGCCAAAACTTTTCCTTTTGTGAAAAGAAAGAAAAAAACAAAAAACAAAAAAAACAAAACAAAACAAAACAAAAAAACAAAAACAAAAAAAAACACTACATATCAGAGGGAACAAGTCCCTCTGCAGCGGCAAGTTCAATGTTGAGCTCACTGACTGGGCGGTGGCGAGAGGATCTACTTCCTCGAATGCAGAGGATAGCAGATCGAGTATCGCGAATGATAGGCGGCAGCGAATCCAACCCATGACTAGAGAGTATTGCTTGTCCTGCTTCCGGGACAACTCATCAGCCAGTCTTTTGTAGAATGTCGTGGCTTCACGTGCCATACCACCAGTAGTTGAGAGGACAAGTGGTGTAAAAACCCCATGTTCAACTTCTCGAACTCTTTGGGCATATTCTCTCTTCTTTGCTGTTTCGTGTTTGCGATATGCTGCTGCAGTGGTCATCGAACGGTTGCTTGACGCGTTGGGGTGGAAAACCCTAACATCAAAAAATGCGTCTTGGCCAGTGTTCCAAAAACCACGAGCACGGATATCTAGGCGAGCGTTGGCATCAGTGTTCGCTGTGCGGTGAGGGAAAGATTCGTTGGTAAGTGGTTGTAGGAGTGGCTCGGTTGCAACATTATGGCAGATTTCTGTGAGTAGGTTGGCCGTCATGTCACGAATCTCATTGTGGCGGATTGTTGGTATGCCGCCCATATGACAGATCATGGCATGATCTATTGAGAACGGTGTGCCACAATTGCAAGAGCGAGGTATGTTGCTCAGATTCCACCCGTATCTGAGACATACAGCATCACGAAATTCCCCCTTGTGCAGGAGGAATCCATGCTCCGCCATTGGTAAGACAGTGAGCCAAGCTGAAGAGCCCTTTTCCTGTGCCAATTCCACTGACCGTTGGAGCTGTGGTGTCAACTGTGCAGTTGTGTCTCTTGCTCGTTTTTGTTGCAGCTCTCTGTTTGTCTTCTTCACTTGTTTCTTTATGTTTAGTTGGTCGGCTTTCTCTACAGTCTGGTGGAGATCCTGTGATGCAATCAGAGCTACAAGTGGAGCTGTAATGCGTAGAGATGCTTGAAAAGCATGAGAAGAATTGGACGTGGGATTAGCCAGTCCCATTCCGCCCAGTTTGGTGGGAAGTGCTAGGAGGTCTCGTTCCAAAGCAGAGCAAGCTTCTCGGCCAGTGAGTGCTGGGATGAAATGCTGGTGAATAGCTGTCTCAAGGGGCTGGAGCAAGTCTTGTATCTCAGGAATGGTCCTTGAGATGTACGTCCAGTGACTGGAGAGGCCATGCGTGAAAGCAGCGTAGGCCGCATGAGGTTGGGTGAGGGCAATTGTTGACAGACTCTTGATCTCATTAACCCATTCACCTACTTTCCTGGAGACATACTCTTCAGTGAAGGACTTTGCACCAATTGCGGCCCCTAAATGGCGCTTGCCATTGATGGTGATGTGAACATCAGTGTCGGCAAAGAGTTCTTTTGCTTTGCTTTCATGTTCCTCTTTTACAATGAGGTAAGTTTTTGAGCTGTTGGGATGGTAGCCATAGGCAGGGCCAAGACGCACAATCTCATCCCACCAATGTCTCAGCTTCTCACAAGAGCCTGCACCTGTTGCGTCATCGGCGTACCATGCTTGCTTTACGTCTGGGGAGTTGTTGCTCAGAAGGTGGATCAGTGGCACTGTAGCGAGAGCATACATGGCCATTGCCAGGGGATCGCCTTGAGTGGTACCTTCCGTAGATGATATTTCACCGCTACCGGCAACAATCATTCTCACTGGGGCTCTGTAGGTGTTGATCAGGACAGGTGACAATGGTGGGCATAGGACACTGACATTATGTAATGCAGCTCTACGATTCAAAGAGTTGAAGGCATTAGAGGCATCAACCAGCAGGCAACCTTCAGTGTCAGCATCCTGGAATATTGCCCGCATAGCATGAACTGCAGCCTCACAACCACCATCCTGACCAGCACATACTTGCAGAGGTCCTGCAGCTTCCTCAATATCCTTTCCGATGGTTCGTAGAATGGCCTTCGCAATTATGCGTCTCGGTACTTCCCCTACTCCGATTGGTCTCACTCCAGGACACTTGTCAAGAGGAATGAGACGGCAAGCAACAAGAGCACTGATGCTCTCTGGGTTTACCAATGAGGAGCAAAGACGACGACCAACTGCAGCTAAAGCAGAGCATAAGTCATGAGACGCAGAGCCAAAAGAGCAACACAATCTCCTCCAAGCAAACGAATCAAGACCGGACGGACCAGCTGAACCCTGGGTGTGCATGGCTGCATTGCGAATTGTATCCGCGTTTAGGTTTTCAAAGAGGATTGGATTGAGGATGTTGGTTTCTGAGGAGCTAGTGAGAAGAGATGATGGATCGGGAGGTTTTCCGGTTGGGTGTTTGTCTTGGAGAACATCTCGGGTGGATCGCAGAACCGGTTCTGAGCCTGAAGAGGCAGATGGTATCATGTCATCAAGATTTAGAACACCTCCAGTTGAATTTCGGGACAGATAACGTAGTGCACTCTTTACTTTCCCCTGCTCCATCATTTTACCAAAGTTACGTGCAATGGCGTTGTCATCAGACGGTCTTGGACGATTATGTAGATAACGTTGAATGCACCTACCCTCTTGAATGAGTAAAGGTATATCACCTTGTTTCCATAACTCCAACCGTCTCTTCAGGTGAGAAATGTGGTCTTTGCTCTTGCTTTTTTTGCTTGGTTTTTGTAGGAGTAGGATTTGCATCACAACGCTTGCCTTAAGAGCAATAGACTCCAGTTGTGAGCCATTCGCAAAAGCTTGTAACAAACGAGTGATTTCTTGGATGAATGATTTTCCAGCCGCACCAGATGGAAGAAGGAAGAGATTACGCTTCCAATGAATGATATCATTGTAAGCTGTGTCTATCATCTTGCAAAAGGTCTGTCCATCAAGCTGTCCCCATTGAAAATCTGGTTGTGAACACGTTGGTAGTGGCCATGGATCGGTGTAATTGCCACTATCACCGGCAGGTTGCTGATGCGATGAGGTAAGGTCAATGGTAGGTGTTTGGTTGTCACGGAAAGGCAACACAGGTTCCATGTTTGAAATTTGGTTGTCAAGGAGAAGCGCATTTTCCATGTTTTCGACGTATATCTCTTGTCCAGTAGTCAGAGTTAATGTCTGTTGGCTATTCGATCTCTCTAGCTGGTCGCTCACGACATCGGGTCTGCCCGCACTGTCAACAAGGTCTTCGTCAGTACGTGCCGCTTTTCCATAATTCTCGCATCTTCCAATATGACTCGGCGTACAGTTAGTACAGACTGTTCCACTGCGAGCACACACACAGCCCTTACAGCGCCCTTTCCCATTACAGCGGCAGCACTGTGGAGGCATGTTGAAGCTCTGCGTTTATGGTCAGTACGTTCAGTCGGCCAGTATACTGTTCACGTACGTTATTATCACGCGCACAGCACATGCTTCCGTACATTAAGTTATTTATTGTATGCGTAGGCGATTCAAAAGGCGGCGACCAGGAAAACCGGCGACCAGGAAAACCGGCGTTCAGAACGGAAGAGAGGACGAGAAGCTCGCGGAGCGCCTTTCCAGCAGCGGTTTGTGTCACCGTCTGAGTCGAACTCCGTCTACGAAAGGCCGCCGAGGGCGTCATTCCCGCAAAGCCTACGCTAGTCCGCGGATATAGTTCAAAAGGCGGCGGCCAGGAAAATCATTTTTTTGCAAGTTCAGAAGGACTAGAAGCTCGCGGAGCGCCTTTCCAGCAGCGGTTTGTGTCACCGTCTGAGTCGACCTCCGTCTACGAAAGGCCACCGAGGCGTCATTCCCGCAAAGCGTACGCTAGTCCGCGGATATAGTACAGTTCGTGTGATAATATAGTACAGTTCCGCGCGATATAGTACAGTTCATTCAAAAACCGTTCTGTATGATGCTGGCGGCGCCTTTGATTCGCCCACGCAAAATACAATAAACACCATTACAATACTCAGAACCTATAATACAAAAATGTCATGCTACTGAGTAAGCATGCAGTGATGGTTTTCACTAGGAAGGCAGTGTAGGAAATGTCCATGTCTTTCTATTATGTATTACTTGGGCATTGATTTCACGAGTATATAGTGGTGCAACATCGGTGCAATGGGTAGCAATATAAAGAAGTTAAAGGCCATTCATGCGATCTCTGGAGTTCTCCAAGGTTAAGTCCTTCGCTCGCCATGCGTCGAAAGTATATCAAGCTTTGTACTATGTATTTATTGTAAATCACCTGATGGATTTCCCGCCCAATGTGTTTTACAAAGAGCCTCTTCTCTTCAGTCAACATATTGCTGTCTATTTCTACAACCTTTCTCCCGTACAAACTCATATCTTTTCTCATTTGTGCAAAATACCTGCTCACATTGGAACAAGTTTCCTCTTGATTTAAGATCATCTGACACTCTCCCATCATTCAATTAATCCTTAAAGGAATGGCTGAATATTATTTCATACACCACGTACTAGCTTTTGACTAGAACAAAGATATAGGGATGGTGTCAATGTATCATTGGGTACCTTTGCTGGGTAGTGACCCCTTGTCTCTTCGCTTCGAACCATCCCTATTATATCCCCCTTCATTTTGAAGAAATGATTTTTCCACTTGTTTCCACTATTTTTAATGAACAGCTATATATGACAACACAGAATTTTCTTATTATCATCACTCTGATTTGCATGGGTATAGGTTGTATGGTTGATCATGGTGATTACTGAATTCTGTTTGTTGAAAGCGGTAGCCATGGCTGCTTATGCCTGAAGCAGAGGGCAGTAGAAAAATCGATCTACACATTTCCAACAAGCTAACTGTTGGTTTGCACCGGAGCAACTTCACGAGAGTCTGTGTGCCGAGAGCTGTGTGCGCGTATACCTTGCGTCGTTTGTGCCCCAGCTTGTATATAGCTTTACATTGTAGTCAGATTAGCCTGCCAATGAAACCACCATCCTGTGCACAACCTAATTGCGTCATTGGAGATCTATATCTTACAGAAGGCACTGGAAACGTTTCGCATGTCTGTCAACAACCGCCTCGATAACGACAACTGCCAGGTGAATGCGCGCGCGAGGTCGCGCACGACACTGCGCGCATCAGGTACAGCGGCTTCCAAAGCGCAATGTGGTGTGCGCATGCGCGTATTTTCGAGGTATTTTATCAGCATGGCTTCCTTTGAGCCGCCCCTGGAGTAGTTAGTACACTCAAAAACTCTACTTCACAATACTCTCTAGCCGGGCGCAGGTTCTGACGTTGATAACGGCTTGGAGCGAGTACAGTAGCCTATGCCGGGTATATAGGCTGGATCCAACGAAGTCCAGAAGTCAGCCTCGGTCAATTATATGGCTCTGGCAAACCGTTGGACAACATACATCTGTCTGGGTGTAACAGTCTCACGACTAGGTCATCTAGTCTCGCGGAGCCAGCACCACGCGACACCTAGTAGGTTTAGTTTACAGCACAAGAAGAGCGAGCCTGTTTTAGTTGAACAGTTACAGTTTCAAGTTGCCTAGGGCTCGCTGTAAAGTTTATTATGCATGCGCACATCGCCTTAACGCTTTGCGCTTTGAAGGTGCAAGAAGCGTGAAAACTGCTGTAGGCCTGCGCCTAATCTGCCAGCAGAATAATCATGGGCGAGCCTGACTGGCTGACGCATGCGCATAAGTGGAATGCGCTAAGATACAGCCATCGTCAGAGCGGATCCTTTATCTATTGAACACCTTCACTGAAAGGCAAGAATGCGCTCTAAATGAGTATATAGAAGCTTACAATACAATTTTCGATAAATGTATTCTGTTTTTTTGGTATTATGAAGTTCGCCTGAGTTTCATCTCTGAGTGGTGGTGGGGAAAAATAGTGAGCAAAATAGGCAGTTTATAAATGAAATGCTGGAAAGAAAAACAGGGGAAAGATCGAGCAGATTGGGCTCAGGCCTAGCATCAGGACAACGCCCCTTGCTGCTCACTGCTTGCTAAGTTAGCAGCAAATGGCGCCGTTCAGTGTCTCCATGGAAGAGCTCCACGATCTACCATAGTGACTTGCGACAAGAAAGAAACGATCGCTTGATGTTTGTGCACACCTCCGACGAATTTGGAGACCTTCAGTGAAAAATCAGAGCTTCAACTTGTTGCAATAAGGAGAAAGCGGGTCTCTATTGCTACATAGTTTGTTTTTAAGGCCTATATAGCAAGTCATTATCACTGAGTTTTAGGCGTTTTGTGCGCAGATAACATGAGATTTTACCCATGCCATCCCTATATAGAGCATCTAGCTACCGATGCTCTAATAAATTCAAAAAAAGGCTGAGAGGTGGAAGACTTTCCATATTTTTTTGGTACTAAGAATGCCTTTGTAAGTGTCACTCTTTCCCACAGCTGACTGGTGGTGCTATGTTTTGTCTTGTATGTTGTTATGTGCAAGTTTCTCTCAATACCCTAACTGAAAATATTGTTTACTGATGCAGTTTCATCAGCTCAGCAGCCACTTTCTCACCTGCCATGCTGCGATGGAAGCATACGCCATGGGTCTCATGCGCAACATTCCAGACGCCCACCCTGTCTACAAGCTACTGCGACCACACACCCGTTACACAATGGCCATCAACAACAAAGCCCGAGAATCATTAATAGGTCCCAATGGAGCTATTAACGCCACCTTTTCTCTTGATCTTCAAGGCCAGAAGGATGTGTTTTGCAGGGCCGGAAAGAAGTATTCTGTTAATTGGAGCAATATCAAAAGGGATGTCAAAGCACGAGGCGTGCAAGATTCTAGTCTGCTTCCATTCTACCACTATCGAGATGACGGCATTAAAATATGGGATGCTCTTACAACTTATGTTAATTCCATCATTGACCTGTCTTACCATGATGATAAATCAGTCAAAGAAGACAAAGAGCTACAGAGCTTTGCTCATGATATCCACAACAATGGGTTTCCTGCGTATGATGGGAGCTATCTTAATGGTCACGACTTCCCACCTTCCATAAGCACCAAGGCTGAGATTGTAGAAATCTGCACCCTCATCATGTTCACTGGATCAGCTCAACATGCTGCAGTCAATTTCGGCCAATACACCTATTACAGCTTCGTTCCAAATGCTCCACTCACTCTTCATCATCCTCCACCAGCAGAAAAAGGAAAACTCACTTTTAAGCAGCTAATGGATGCACTTCCAAATGAAGAAGGAACCCAAAATATGATTACGGTTACTTCTCTCCTTTCAAAATATTCTTCTGATGAGGTGAGTAATCATTACATTTTGTATAATTCGTACATTTTGACGTTGAATTTTTTTATTCTCAGATCTTTGTCGGGACATACCCAGCTGAACTCGTTGTTGAGAAGGAAGCTAAGGCTGCTGCTGAAAATTTGAGGAAGACACTGGAGAAGATAACAGTTGAGATAGAAGAGAGGAACAAAGCTCTGGAGGTGCCCTACATATACCTGCTCCCTAAAAAGATCCCAAACAGCATTACTATCTAACTAATCTGATACAAACTCATTGACTTGAGTAGTAAGTAGCTATGTAGTATATATTATCTTGAATGCTCATAACTGAAACTTTAAATCACAAAATTGCTTCCCGGCTCCTTCTTTTTCTACGTGCATTAAGTGGGTGTACAATGTGACACCCAGTATCCATACATGCACGATGGTTGAGCTGCCTTCCTAGAAGAACATCTTAGTATTAGAGCGTCTGTAGCCACACTATGTACAACAGAATACCTTTCACCTGGCTAAGTCTTCAAAATACACCAGTAACAACTATCGGGCCCTTGTACTCAGATATTCATATTATTGTGTCATGCGCGAAAATTTAGCGATTACTATTCTTCTTCCTCTTCTCTTCTTCCACGGCTCTCGCGGAATAGCATGTTATACAAATTGTGCTTTGAGTGTTGAGTTTTCCGAACTTTGTACTGTTCCTGAGGTTGTACAACTTCATGTAAAATAAACACACACTGATTTGCTAGCTAGGTGTCATAACTGACGTGACGACAGTATTTTAACTTGTATACACATGAGTAGAGGACTTTCCTTGTGTAACGTGCGATCTGTCCGTTACACAAATCCATCTCTATAATATTCTGAGCATACACTCAAGTCATCACGTGACTACATAGACAGGCAAATTACTACGGCGCATGCGCATGAGGTGACTACATACAATACATACAGTAACATACAATAACAGTCTCTGTGTCCCTGTTACATCACTCCCCCTGTGATCAAGTTCGTCCAGAATGTCGGTTCCGTAGGGGGTACTTACATGCAGGCCTCGGGGCACTGTTCGAAGGCGAGCAATCGTTCGATGTCGGCGGTTGAATGGCGTTCGTATCCACCGATGTGGGTGTTGTCTCCGGGTCAGAGGCACTGTCTGAAGCTTGGTCAGCTGAATCCTCTGAATCCACACCACTATCTGAGGTGGTCTCTGGCTCTCCAGAGGTGGTGTCTGCCTCTCCAGGGTCTGCAGGTGTTTACACCACGGCGTCATCCCCCATACCAATAAAACGGAGCCGGGAACTTTGGTGGACGCTTTCACCCTCGACTGGTGAACTTGGATCGTACGATCTTGAGGGAAGTACACCATGGTCAGGAGAACATCTGGGTCGCTGATTGAGACAATGCGGTATGGACCATGCCATGGTCGGGACAGTTTTCTCTGTGGTCCAGACTCGTCCTGGGGCATGTGCACCAGCACCCAGCATCTGGGTAGATTGCGCGGCTAAGTCCCGAGCTGACGTCAAAGAGAGCACAAGCTCTTCTCTGTAGTCTTCCACACTTGTGACCTGTGCTGGCGTATCTGGGAGAGATAACAGGCCTCAGTCGGTGTTCTGCAGAGCAAGAGAAAAGACGATTTCTCTCCAGTGGAGTTGTGGGGTGTGTTCCTGTAGGCCCATAGAACACCTGGAAGATATTGATCCCACTGAGCTCCGAAACGAGCTGCGTGCTTGCGAAGGATGGTCTTGAGAGTTCTGTTAAACCGCTCTACCATCCCATCACACTGTGGGTGGTAAGCAGTCGTGTTCAGGTTGCGGATTCCCAGCAGCTTGCACACATCCTCCATGAGAATGGGCAGCAGGTTGGTTCCCCTATCGGACAGCAGAGCCTCAGGCACTCCAAACATAGGCACTACTTCTTCCACCAGAAGACGAGCGAGACGAATGGCCTTCTTGTCGGGGACAGGGAACACCAATGGCAGAAAGTCTTGAAACACCACCACATGCTTGTTACCAGCCTCGGTCTTAGGCAAGTCCATGATGTCGACTTCCACAATCTGAAACACGCGTTGCACAGGAATGGGATGGAGTTGGGGTCAGTTCAACCGTCCGGAGGAGTGGACCACAGCACACTGAGGACAGGAAGTGTAGTGGCTGACCACATCAGAGTACATGAATGGCCAGTACCAGTGTTGGACCAGGGCCTTGTACAACTTCTCTCCCGAAAAGTGCCCTGCAAACGGACCACTGTGGTTCTCCTCCATCAGGTGAACACGTAACTGTGTGGGAACAACACAACATTGCTGATGATTTCGTTTCGAGTCGATGAAGTAGACGATGTCGTCGATGAGCGCGAATGAAGGAGCTTGAGAGGCAATCTTTTTCGCTCGCTGAGAGTCATCAGGTAGCTGTCCTTGAGACAGGAATTTGCTCAGCTCTATGATCTCAGGATCCTTCTCCTGCTCCTGAGAGTAATGAACAGCAGTGTCAGACACAGACGTCGGTTTCTGAAGGAGTTCTGTTATGTCTCCAGCAGTCTTGATCTGAGCTACCTGGACGTCTGGAACAGAGGTGTCAGCAGTTTCTCCTCCGACCGGGCAGCATGAAAGGGCAGCTGCGTTAGCGTTCTCTCGTCCTGCTCGATATGTGATCTGGACGTTCCTCACACCGCTACCAAACAGCTTGCTCCACCTACGAGCATGTTTACCACTCAGACTAGGAGTCTCCAATACAGCTTTGACTGCTGAGTGATCAGTGAAGACGTACACATTATGGCCATAGAGGTAGGCGTGAAAGTGACTCACTGACCATACCACCGCTAAAGTTTCGAGCTCTGTGATAGCATACCGCTTTTCCTGTGGAGACAGAGAACGGCTGGCATATGCAACAGGGTGCACCTTTCCATCCTCGGCTCGTTGCGAAAAAACCGCTCCCCAAGACCCATAGGACTGGCATCAGTCTCGAAGATGAAATCCCGATCGGAGTCTGGGTACATGAGAATCGGTGACTCAATCAATCTCTGCTTGAGGAGCAGAAATGCCTCCCTGCACTCTGGAGACCAGTGAAATCACCTATATAAGTACTGCACTTTCAGGCTGATAAAGTGGCACTTGGAAGGTTTCAGCTTGCCCTTTGCCAGGCGATCAATGACGAGTGAGAGGTGATGCAGGTGATCATCCAGTGTCCGTGAGAACACTACGACATAAAGGTAGACGGATACGAAATCTGGTCCTTCATGAGGGTTCAGACCAGCTAACACACATTGCACCAGTTTCTGGACAGGTGCATTCCTCAACCCAAACGGCATCACCTTGAACTCATACAGCCCCTGATGAGCGATGAAGGCTGTTTTCTCGCGAGAGTCAGGGTGCATCTTCACCTGCCAATACCCAGATGCTAGGTCGAGTGTCGAAAAGAACTTGGACTGTCCTAGCTGATCAAGAAGGTCGTCCATTTGCGGCAGGGAAAATACATCGGGTTTTGTCACAAGGTTGAGGTGTCGATAATCGATGCAAAACCGCAGGGAGCCATCGTTCTTGAGAATCAGCACCACTGAGCTGGCCCACGGACTAGAGGAAGGCTCTATCACTCCCTGGGACTGCATCTCCCGAAGTTGTCTGGCAACTTCGGTACGGATGGCGAACGGTGTGCCACGAACAGGCTGTCGGCGGGGTGGGGCATCACCAGTGTCAATGGTCATTTGTATGAGATCAGTCTCACCTGTGTCCCCTTCGTCGACAGCAAAGGCCTGATGATGGCTGAGTAGGAGTTGGCAGAGGCGGTCCTTGTCCTGCCAGCAGAGTGTTGGCCCGACCTCCGCCAGGAGTCTCACCAGTTTCTGTTTCCTCTCAGTCGTGTTCGCACACACACGTTTCACATTGTGTTCGTTCAGTTTGGTTGCATCGGGTGGTTCGATCGAGTTGGTTCGTGGTCGCCCCTCTTCACCACCACTCACCTCCTCAACCTTCCCTCCTACATCACCATCACCTGCACCACTACCTCCTGCACCGCCACCACCATTACCACCACTGCAACCCATCCCACCAGCACCCCCAAGTACCCCCGCAGCATCCCCACCAGAACTCCCGTTCCCCTCCAGTCCCTCCCTTACCATCCCACTGCTCGACTGGTCACGGTCAACAGCATTATCACACACAATGCACTCCGCATCAACGGCTTCCATCACAATTGTGTCCTTTTCCAGCTTCTCAGTGAAGCCTGTGGGATTTGCGATCATCATGTTGCAGCATCCGTGCTCGCAAAGGAACTCGCAAACAGTGGGAAGTCATCTCCACAGAGTTGTTCGAGTATAGTGCCAGTCCATGTGCTGGTCTCTCTCCTACTAGTTGAACAGGAGCAACAGTGCTCTTCATGGGACGTATTCGTACTGAGTGGGTCAGCTTCACTCTTATTACGGGAACATGAGCATTCGATGAGCTTTGGGTTACAGGCGGGTCTGCACCGATGCTGGGATGATACTTGATGATACCCAGCTGGTGGCACACACCTTCCAAGAATATTAGTGGATCACGGGCATCCATCTTCACGTAGACCGGAGTATGCAGTTGTCGAATGTGATGTCTAGCTCAAGCTTGCCATCCAGTGAGAAAGGCTGGTGGTCGTATGTATAAGGGGTCTTATCAGGTTTCTTGAATGCGGACTTCTTCAGGCGTGCTACTGAAGCCACCTTCTTGAAGAGCTCGGCTCCCATAATGATGATGTCTGCACTGCTGTCTATCACCCCAGTAGCCTGTATGTCCACCAACACCTCTCTCGGCTTGCTGCCTTTGTCTTGTATTTGAACTGTGTTGACCCCGCTTTTCTCGACGTCAGAGTCCAGCAGAAGGAAGTCCAATGGGTCCTCCTTACACTTCACCATTTTGGTTCCCGCATCTGTGTTTCGCTTAGTCTTCTTCTTACAGTTCCACACAAGATGGTCAGTGTCACCACAGACGTAGCACTGACGAGGTTCTCCCCGATTTTCTCTGCGCTTCCCACTTGGTTTGTTCGTTGAGTTTTGCTGGGATCGTCCTCCAGCATCTCCCTTCTTGCCGACGTCCTTGAGGTACTGCTGACGACGCGACAACTCGTTCAGGCGTTTCTCTTCATGTCTCGGGGCGATACAGAGCTGGGTATACGAGTCAGCTCCAGGGCGCTTGATCAGGCCATACTTCATGAGTCCCTCTTCGAGTTGGCTGTAGAGTAATGTCTGGCGGGTCTCCACGCTCAGGCCATCATGGCCATATGCAGCTTGGAACAGTCTCTCCAGACGACAGGTGTACTCTGCGACAGACTCTCCCATTCCTGCGTCGCATGTCTGAAGTCTTGGCCAGCCAGCACACGATTCTCAGGGTCCACCCAAGAACG